TTACTTAAGTCTGCAGCACAATAAATTTTACCTCTGATCAAATATTGAGGTTTATATAAAAAAACTATAACAATTGAAAAATACGAAATGTTTGGTGAAATTACTTTTTTAAAAGTAATTTAGACACCCATATTACGTTGATAGCTTTGATATCATCATATTCGCAAAACTGGAGGTTTCAAAATCATAAATTCCACATAATAAAATCAAATTCCAAAATTCTTCAGCGAGTGTAAATACTAGATAGTCTAGCAATAAGGTTGATTCCGAAAATCGAGACTAAATTAGCACTGTCTATTAAGACTAAATATTTGTTTAGTGTTGTACACTAAAATTAAACAGAATGAAAAAAAAACAGATTGACAAACATTTTAGTTGAGATTTATCGGTTTAAAATATATGCTCTATTATTTGTTAACTTTTTCACACTACTTGTGCAAATCTTAAAAAATAACGTTAAAAAAGGTTAATTTTAAGCAGCCTTATTGATATTTAATATACATGCTAAACTATGCAAGATTAGTTAGTAATCAAAAGAAATTACCAGTATAAAAATAAATGCAAAATTTAGGCGAGTCTTTTAAATTTTATGCTTTTTTTACTGACAGTTAACTAGTACATGTATATAACACTCCCAAAATCAAATTTATATGAACGTATCGTATAAAAATAATAATGAACTATGCAAAAAATTTCGAGTATTCCAAATAAACCTGATACAATCAACTCTGAATATAATAACTTTTTTTTACTATACAACGAACCAATAAAGTTTGTTGTAGAAACATAGAAATTACATCCATAAGAAACTTTTACTATAAAAACTATTAGTTCGTTATAGGGTTTAGATCTGGTAATTATGTCAGAAAAATATTCTTTTTAAGATTTAAGATTAGGAACTACGCCGATTTTATCCCATTTTCAATCTCTATCGGCTTCATTCAATTCTCTGATCGTACCATCTGTACCAACTCTCATTGCAATAAATGAGGGTGAAGCAGAAATAGAAGGGGACACTACATCTTCTTTAATAAGATCAATCATGGAAGTATTATTGTCATCAGTAGAAGTAACACGTTTTATAAAATCACGACAACGTTCGACTGCTACTTGTGAAGGTTTAGAAAAAGTAAACATCTGCATAATTTGATCATATGTAAAAATTAGTAATAAAATTTTAAAGGTATTTACGACGAAAACATTTAAAGTATACTTACATGCCAGACATGAGGCATATCATCATAGACTTCAAGTATAACTTTAGTAGGTTTTTTAAAAGGTGATTTTTCAAAATTTTTAGTTGCATATGAAGGCAATTGATATTCATGAGGACTCGCAGCTTTATGAGAAATTAGAATAGCTTCGTCACGAAATCTTTCATCACCTCCAACTTGCTATAATTCATTTTACATAATTAATTATATTATTAAAGTTATAAATTAATAATATTACAAAGAAGCACTTACACATAGAATAGGTGGTAAATTTCCTAATGACTCAGCAAGCATGGGGCTAGAAATCAAAATTTTATAAATACCTAAGAATCAATTACGTAGAATTACTGTTAAATTTTTAAGTAAGATAAGAGCACTTACCTAATATAAGGAATTGCCAACGCTTCATTAGCACATTAAAGTTGAAAACGAGGTACTTCACTAAAAGAAGGATGACTAACAATCTTAGGATTTTTTAGAGCGATTTTATCAGCTAGAGCTTTTGCATTGACAAAAAATTCATCCATGGCAGGCGATGATGGAAACTTCATAAAAAACTCTAGATCTGAAGGTATAAAATCTACTCTATCCATTTCGGAATCCCATTTGGATGGCATACTTTGAGTTAAATCAACCTGTTTTGAAAAAACTCACATCAGTTTTTTCATTAATTTACTGTAAATTTAAAATTGAATTTCTAATATACATACCGATGGTGACTTTGGGTATCATTTGAATAAATAAAATGGTTTTTGTAAATACAAATTATAAGACCAAATATTATAAGTTATTTATTTATTATTTATTTATTTAATCTCACCAATGCAATTGCGCCCGCCGGTAATGGTAATCCAGCATCCCTTAAAGATAAGAGTGTAGCAAAAACTAAATTGCCACCCGCACTCTCACCAGCCAATACAATACTTTTAGGGTTGATCGGTTCAAACCCTGCATTTGGTCCAGGATTTATAAGATATAGATAAGCAGCGATGGAATCACAAAGAGCAGTAGGAAATTGGTTTTGTGGAGAAAGACGATAATTAAGTGCTGAACCAATAATTTTTGTTAATGTAAGAGATTGTCATAAGAATTTATTGTAAGAAATTGTCGTAGGATATTAAAAAGTAGTTAATCGGAATGTATATTAGAAATTCAATTTTAAATTTACAGTAAATTAATGAAAAAACTGATGTGAGTTTTTTCAAAACA